AGGCCAGGGGAAGTGGGGTCCTGGCCTTTCCCAGGCTCTGCCATGGTCCACGCTCCACTTCCCTGCCAGTTTATCAGCCACTGGAGCAACCAAGGGAACAACATCAGCCAGGACAGAATAAACAAACATCCGAATTTGGGCTTCCTTCCTTCCTTCAAATAACCAAAAAAAAAAAAGAAAAAAACCAACAAAAACCCAGAGATGGAGAATTCAATTATATTTTAAAAGATAGAAAAAAGTCAAATAAATAAGCATTTGTGTTTCCATGGGGACATGATGCATTCCTGAGAGCGGGAGCTTGGCCTTGGGAAGAAGCAATGCTGGAGCAACAAAGCCAGTGATGCCACAAGTGGCCCCATGTGCAGCCCACCACTGCGCCCAAGGGACCAGCATAGGTCCCTTGGCTCTGATAGCCCTTGGATCAGCAGAAGTTGTCCATGGACTCTCAGGTCCCCAACACACAGTCATGGCTCACCAGGAACTCACAGCCTGTTTGGAGGGGAACTCCAGGTAGGAGAGATTGTTTTCCTCTTTCTCTTTCATTCCCACAGCAAAGGTAGGTCAGGACCAGCCACCTGCTGGAGCAGGATCCTGGACAAGGGGGGAGTTTTCCTCTGGAGCTCCAGGGCTGGGGGAGATGGGCCTGGGCTCTTCTGGGAATGCAGGGGGGAGAAAGCTGCTCCTCTGGGAATGCGGGGGGAAATGCCTGTGGCATTCCAAATCTCAGATTGTATCCAGGTAGGAATGTTTGGCTCCTCCCCTGGGCAGAGCAGCTCCCCATGGGATGATGGAATTTTCTCAGCCATGCAGGGACACTCAGTGGCCATGAACAGGAGATAATTAATAATTAATGGCCCATGAACAGAAGAGATTCTCCTGGAGGGAAGATTGGTTGTGGAAGAGATAAAGAAAACTGCCCAATGAACAGAAAATAACTGCCTCACCTCTAAGAGATGGCAAATAGAATACAGATATAAGAGATATCTAAGAGATATACATGCAGATATGGATACAGGCCCAGTGTCATGAGTAGTTCACCCTAAAACAAGGTCTCCTTGAGGTATGCATTGAGTCTCTCCATCTTTTTGCATCACCTACCAGGTGCAACCTGGTCCCTGAGTGAAGACAACCCCAAAGATGGGATTGTCCTTGCTGGAGGCAGAATTAACCAAGACAGTTTTCCCCAGCATATCACTCACGTGTACCACTGGATCCTTACATCTGGTGCTCACAGGGGCTCAGATTGGGCAGGGCCTGCTCGGGTGTTGACTCAACATGTGGCCTGTAGTGGATTGTGCTGGGTGGGTCATTAATTTGGGGTTCTGTTGGGTCAGTTGGGTTGGGTCATTCCTGTTGGGTTAGGTCAAGGTGGGTTTTCCATGCTGGATTACATTGGACATTCGTGTTGGGTTGGGCCATTCGTGTTGGGTTGGGCCATTTGTGTTGGCTTCCCCTGGTTTGGTTGGGTTGGGTTTTTCTGGATCATTCATGTTGGGCAGAGGTGAGGTGGGTCCCTCATTAAGCTGTTCCGACACTCACAGCAACATTTTTCAGAGCTTTTGCCCTGCAAACCATTTCCAGGAACATCTCCTTGGCTCAGCCACCCTTGGTTCCTGCTGCTCTGATGCAAATTGCCACTGGATTTCCTGGAAAACATGAATTCCCTGTCCTAACCTTGTCCAGAAACATCCCCCACATGCAGAGAGAAACCTCTGCGTGCCCTGCACGTCACCCAAAGCTCTGCTTGACATCAGCACCACCAGAGCCACTTCCAAGAAATCCCGGGCTAGGGAAGGGGGACGGATTTCTTGCACAACTCCACGGAGCGGGCCTGAGGGAGGATGCACCTGTAGCATCCGGAGTATTTTTCCTTTGCGCGTGGCCGTGGGAGCCCCTTGGTGTGGGACCAGCTGGCAGGGCCTGGCAGGGCCTTTCCCAGGCAGAGGGCTAATTCCGTGTCCCCTGCCGGATGCAGGATCTCGTCACCAGCACCCGCTGGAGAAGGGAAGAGCATTGTGTGGGCTGTTGCTTTTTTTAAAGCTGCTTGTGACCCCAGGAGCAGTGTGTGAGTGAGGAAGGAGGGGACAAAGGGGGAGGGCAGAAAAATTCCCAGATCGCAGCTCTCCCTGGGAAATCCCCAGAAAGTTCCCAGGCACTTTCTTTCCCAGCATATGCATTCCTACGTGCTGAGGCCAAGCAGCAGGTGCATCCCAGAGCATTTGGCTCCTGCGGGGCACATGGGCCTCCTCCAGGAGGGCCTCAGCTCTGCTGTCCCTGTCCCATGGAACCCTGTGGGGCACAGAAGGGACCACAGATCCCAGTGAGCTCCAGAGACCACCATGCTCCACAGCCGAGGAGAAACAACCCCGTGAACATAACCCACGGGCCATGCCAGTGCTGCTGCGCTGCCCATCCCAAAGGCAGCCAGCGGGGCACCACGGAATGGGAATTCCCCCTCCTCAGAGCCCCCAGAGCTCCCATCCCAGCCCTTCAGCTCAGGCACGGTTTGATCCCGTTTGCCCGCATCCATCACTCTCATCCGGAACATTCCTGGATCCCGCAGGAACCCGGTGAGTCCCTGCCGGTCCCAGGGGCTGTGCCCGGACACAGAGGGAGAGGAGCCTGGGCTTTCTGCCAGGAAGGACCGAGGGACAGGCGACAGGCACTGCCCGAGCACGGGGAGCAGGAGGCTGCTGATCGCATCCGCTGCCTCCCCCCGGGAGCCGGTACCGGGGCACGATCGCACCCCGGCAAGGGCCTGTGACAAATTCTCATGGAGGCCGGGATGCCTTTGCCGTGAGCTCACCCAGTGACTAACTTGTTTATCTCCCGCGGGAGCTGCGCCGAGGTTTTGGGAAGCAGCAGATCCCCGACAGCTCCTCTGCCTGTTCCAGGCGCCGCCCCCACCCCTTTCCTGAAAAACACGCGGAAATCAGGAATCCGCGGTGGCACCAGCGCGTCCCCTCGCTGCGAGGACAGCGACAGCGAGCGGCTCCTCTGCCCACACACCCACAGCAGGGAAACTGGAAAGAATCGGAACACCTGGATTTTGAAAAACCAGGCTTGGAAATTCTGGCACAGCGCTGGGGAGCATCTCCCAGGTGCTTCGCTGGGGCGGTTTGTTTGCACAGGTACCGAGGAGGCACCGCTGAGACCTCATCCTGCCCCATTCCCAACCCAGGGAGGCACCAGCGTGTTTAAACACACAGCAGGATGTCCCTAGAAATGTTCCAGGCCAGGGTGGACGGGGCTTGGAGGAACCTGGGACAGTGGAAGGTGTCTCTGCCCATGGCAGGGAGTTGGAAGGGGATGAGCTTTAGGGTCTGTTTCAACCCAAACCATTCTGGAATTCTCTGTGTCTGACATCGCAATCCCCAGGTAACCACTGCCAGGGCTCCTGTGTCACCAGTGTCATCTGCACTCCCCAGTGCCACGAGCCGCTCCCACTGGCGGGTCCGGAGCTTTTTCTGATGCACCAGCTCAATCCCTGCGGGTGCTTCGTGCCGCAGAACAACCCGGAGCTCCAGGGAGCGGAGCCGCTGTCCCGAGGCTCCCGGCGGGTGCTCACCGCGCCGCCCCGGGGCATCTCCGGGGCTCGGAGCGCCCTGCAGGGAGGCGGCGAAGGGCAGGGTTGGCCGGGGGCGATGGAAGGGGGGCGAGGGGCGGCGGTGGCCACCGCCGGGCCAAGGCAGCCCTCCAGCGGGGACCCGCCGCCTGCCCGCCGCGCAGTGTGTGCCGGTTTGGATGCAAATCAGCGCTTTGTAACCTAAAAGGTGATGTGTGTATCCCCGGCACCGCATCAGCCGCAGCGGGGAAGAACCGGGACAGGGACAGGAGAAGGGAGGACCGTGACGGGGAAGGGGTAGGCAGGGACAGGGACAGAACAGGGATGGGAGCAGGGACAGGGACAGGGATGGGGCAAGTAGTAGCAGGGACGGGGATGGGGTAAGGCAGTGACAGGGATGGGGAAAGGGACAGGGACGGGCACGGGCACAGGGACAGAGACAGGGATGGGCACAAGGACGGGGACAGGGACAGAGACGGGGACAGGGACGGGTACAAGGACAGGCACAGGGACGGGCACAGGGACAGAGGCGGGCACAGGGATGGGGATAGGGATAGGGACGGGGACAGGGATGGGGAAAGGAACAGGAACGGGCACAGGGACGGGGACAGGGACGGGCACAGGGCAGCGCCGCTCCTCTCGCTGTCCCTGTGCCCGCCTGCCCGCCAGGGGGCAGCACTCGGCCCGCTCCGTGCCCAGCCCGTCCTGCTGCCGCTGTCCGCACGCCGGCGGCGCCCGCGCGTCCCGGGGCGTGCGCCGCGCTCCGTCCCTGCCCCGAGCTCCATCCCTGCCCCGAGCTCCGTCCCTGCCCCGAGCTCCGTTCCTGCCCCGAGCTCCGTTCCTGCCCCGAGCTCCATCCCTGCCCCGAGCTCCATCCCTGCCCCGAGCTCCATCCCTTGCCCCGAGCTCCATCCCCGCCCCGAGCTCCATCCCCCGCCCCGAGCTCCATCCCCCGCCCCGAGCTCCGCTCCTGCCCCGAGCTCCGTCCCCCGCCCCGAGCTCCGTGCCGCCGCGGCGCTCAGAACCGCGGTCTCCCGGCCCGGAGCCGCGGCGGTCTCGGGCGGGCCGGTCCCGTCCCGCCCCGTGGTTTGCGGGCGCTCCGCCCCGCGTGTCTCCATGCCGGCGGCGGCCCCGCCCCGGCCCCGCCGCCGCCCGCGGGCTCCGGGGCCCGGCCGCGCCGCTCCGAGGCCCCGCGGAGCCGCCGAGGTGGGTCGGGGGCCGAGGCGGTCGCGGTGCCCCCCGGCCCCCGAGCTCGGAGCGGGGCTCGGGGGCTGCGCTCGGGCCGCCTCGCAGAGGGGCCGTTTGCAGCGCGGCTTTTTTCCTTGTTTTTTCCTCTTTACAGCGCCGCCGGTAACGCCGCTTCCCCCCGGCAGCAGCGGCCGGTGTGGGGAAGCTCCGAGCGGCTTTCTCGGCCTGGTGGGCGCAGGGAGGCGGAGGAGGAGGAGGAGGGAGCGGCGAAGAGCCCGGAGCAGCGGCGCTGACCTGCGGGATTCCCTCCGGCAGAGCCTCCGTGGTCCCTGCAGCATCCCCAGCCCCGCTCCGTCATCCCGCAGCTCCGCCCGCGTTCCAGGCTCCCAGGTAATGCCCGGCCGGGCTCACACGGGAATTACGGTCCCAGCGAAAGGCAATGAAAGGCTGCAGCTCGTGGGCAGAGCTGTTTTCCCTCATTCCCTGCAAAAAAACAACCCCACCCTGCTAGGGAGAGCTGCTTGGCTTCTCTTTGCCCAGGTAGGACCCAGAGCATGGAGTGATTTAGCAATAGGAGTTTACTGGAGTAACTCCTCTGGGGGGGTTCTACCATCAGGGCTGGCTGCTTTGCTGATAAAAAAAAAAAAAAAAAAAAAACAGAATTAGAATTTGTTTCTGTTGAGCTGTGTGGCCTGGAAAGGCTTTGCTTGGGAGAAACGCAAACAGGTTCTGGGAATGGGACCTAGTGTCAGGTGGTCAGTGTGAAACGTGGGGTGAGCAGATAATTCCCTTTGCTTCCAGGAAAATGAAGTAGCTGTGAAGCTGGCAGTGCCTGGGATGTCTTTATTAGCTCCTTAATTTCATTGAAATCCCACGTGGGGAAGGTCTGGAAGGGGAATCTGGTTCCTGACAGCTGAGATCTGATGGAGTTGTCTGCAGGGTGAGGGCAGGAGCTCAGCAGGGAACAGCCAGTCTGCTTTTTGTCTCTGTGGTAATTAATTGTAATTAACTGAGTCAGCTCAGGCTGTTAAACTCTGCATGTGTCCTGTCCAAGAGGTGCTGCCATCCTGGGGGATCTGGTTTGCCACCTGGGCTTGTGCTCTTGGCTCCTCTGGCTCTGGCAGAGTCCTCGGGCCAGCTCAGCCTTTGCAGAATTCCTCTTTTTCTTGATGTTCCTTCACTGCAGAGAGAACTGTCAGGTTGAAGGATGCCAGAGGATCAAAAGGCAAATTCCTTTCCCTCACTTAGGACTGTTGTCCAAAGTCCCTCCCTGTTCCATGTGGAACAGTAACTTTGGTTCCAGCCAGGTGCTTCCAGAAGTAAAAACTGAGTGAGTGTGAGCAGCTGAATGTTTGAGGTGTTTTTAGTAGAAAACACCACATTTTTTCAGAGGAGCTGGACAATCAGGCTGGAGGGCAGCAGGGTCATCCCATGCCCCAGAGGGTTTAGCTAAAAGCTGGTGAAGGCCTCCAGATTTGTGGGGTTTCTCCTTTCTTAGATGTTCCCACTGTTGAAACTATTTGGTCACTCATATTTTCACCATCTCCTTTGCCCAGAATGGGGAGTGTGGCTTTTCCTCAGAGAGGTTAAACACGGTTTTGTTTCCTTAAAATGTTTCTTGTGAGACAAACTGCAGTGTTAGGGTTAGAGTTAACCCCTGAGAAATCCAGCCTTCCTTTGTGCTCCTTCCACAGCATCTCCTGTCCTTTCTCTCCAAAGACTGATGGGAATTCCTCAGAACACAATGGATTTGAGGTTTCTGCTTTTCCCTCCAGTACTGTTCTCTCCTTCACCCTGTGGGTCCTGTGTCACCCATGTGTGTTTATGCACTGAGTATTTAATGTCTGCTCCCTCCTGCCCTTTCCCTTTGAATTCCAAGGGAAATTTTGTCTGGAATTCTCTCATTTCACTGCTGCCCAGGTGTCTGGACATAAAGCATAAAGGTGAGGTAGCAGGAGGTGCAGGAAGAGAGTTTGCTGTTCACGTAGCTCATCCAGCTGTCAGCTCTGGTAAAACAACGAAAATTATAAATCCTCCCTCATCATACAGATTTTTGGGGGTTCAATGCCTCTTAATTTTAGTATCTGTTGGAAAGATGTAATTTAAGGCTCTTACTGAGCTGCCTGTGGTGTTTTCTTCTAGGAAGAGCAACACAAGATCTCCCTGATTAGGTTTAATTATCTGGGTCACTTCCCATTACCTGTGTTAATTCCCTGCTCGGTTTTGATATTGGGAGAGGAGGAGATGAAAGAAATGTGTGTGGAAAGATCAAGGCTGGAGCTGCCCCAGGCACAGGCCATGTGCTAAGGGATCTGTGGGTGAGCCTTTTTGTGGTATTTTGGGTCCTGTTTGTGTGTGCAAACAAGATTTATTCTGTTTCCCACTCCTCACTGGGATAGTGGGTCCAAAAGCCAAACTGGACAGTTTCCCTCTCTCAGATAATCTTAGGCTTTGTGAGTCGTTGGTTCAGGGATTTAAATAATTTCTTGAAGATTTTAAAGCTGATAAACATAGGGGCAGCTCCTGGGTTTTGTAGCTGTAGGTTTTCTTCTCTTGGTTATGAGATTTGCATGTCAGATGGGGCTCATTCCTCTTCCTATAGCAGATTTTCAAAGCTGGGCAGCAGGAACAGGAGATGGGTATCTTGGAGGCTGGAGCAGGGGGTTTGGTCTCTTCTCCCAGGTACAAGGGATAGGACAAGAAGAAACACCCTCAAGCTGTGCCAGGGGAGGTTTTGATTGGATGTTGGGAAAATTTCTCATGGAAAGGGCTTTGTGGCTGAAGTGTGGCTCAAATGTTCTCTTCAAAAACATTCCCACTTTTTCTCACTAGGGATGTCTGCATTCTTTTATCCCTGCTTAACAAGTTGCTGGTTGGGAATGTGGCACCTCTGTGGATTTGGTTGTTATCAGCAGCTTTTGAGGTCTCTGCAGAGCAGAAGCAGCTTGGACAGCCAGAGCTCCAGTGTCTGGACTCTCCAGATAAGAAAATGAAGGAAAATCAGAAGTCTAGGATAAGAATTGCTTTCTGAGCCTGTGTCTTATCCAGAGAGACCACATTTTAGTGCACTTCAAAGTGCTGTTAAAATCCTGCTGAGTTTAGACCTGGCCCTCAGAAATTCATAAACATAATGGGCATTTAGACTGAGGCATCATCTCTTAAAACTTGTCAGGTTTTTGCCCTTGCTCTTTGCACTGAAGAGTTGTTACAAATTTCCCTCAGAGAAATCGCCTTCTAATCTCTATCCTAAAATTAATCACGGTGGTTTCTCCTCCATGCCAGCTGTGTCCTTCACCAGCAGCAGAGATCTTCCTCCTCCTCCTCATTGTTTTGCCTGCTTTTTCTAGAACTGACCTAATTACTGGGTTCCTCTGTTACTGATTCTCTAACCAAGGTCACTTTGCTTCCCCGATTGCTGCAGTTCCATCCAGGAATGGTGAATTCATAATGGGAATGCTGGAGGGGGGAGGAGACCTTCAGAGATGAGGCTTTGTCACTGCTTTGCACAAGAGTGTTGAACACAGCTGTCTGTCTCGGAATGGCTTTGCCTGGTAAATCACAGAATCATGGAATGGCTTGGGTTGGAAGGGACCTTAAAGCTCATCCCATTCCACCTCCTGCCATGGGCAGCCTTCCATGATCCCAGGTGGCTCCAAGCCCCATCTCCAACCTGGCCTTGGGCACTGCCAGGGATCCAGGGGCAGCCACAGCTGCTCTGGGCACCCTGCCTGCCCACCCTCACAGGATCCCGGCATGTCCTTTGTGTCTCCTCAGGGCTGTGTCCTGCTGGGGTTTAGGACAGAGGATCACATCTGAGTCACCTTGTCCCCTCTCTCCTGACTGCCGGGATGTGGTGGCAGAGGCTGGCGTGGCTGCGGCGTGGGAGCTCCGGACGTCGCTGGCCATGGCTGCCCCGGCGCCCCGGGCCCGTCCTGGCTGCCCCGGCACGCTGCCACCCCACGGCCCCGGCGTCCCCCCAGTGTGCCTGGCAGCTGCACCCAGACCATCTCGGTAGGTGTGCTGGGGAGGGTGCTCCTGCTCTGCCTGGGGACAGCAGGGAGGGGTTCCACCCTTGTTCCCTGCAATGATGGATGTTTTCCTTCTGAAATAGCCCGCGTTAGAGGGATGCACACTGGGGGCTGTTTCATGTTCCCTGCTGGAATTCCCAAAGGCAGGATGGAGCAGCCTTGTCTTCTATGATAAGTGAGGCACTGCTAAATAAGTAATTAAAGCCAGGGATTCCTGAACAAAAACTGAGCCATGCCCTGTCAGGCACCATTTTCTGTGCCATGCTCAGGCACAGCCCCCTCAGCTCCGGTGTGTTCCCACCTTGTGCAGGGTGTTGGTGTTACAGTGAGCTCATGGGCACTCTATTTCCCCTTCCCCAGGACCCTGTGACTCTGATCAGACAACCCTGGACCCCTCCTTCCTGCCCCAACGGGGCTGGGGGAGAGCCAGGGAAGCCCACCGTGTCCAAAGTCTGTATAGACCCCTGACATTTCCTGTTTGTCCTCTTTTGCCCTGCTCTCCCCTGGACACCACAGAATAAAGAGAGCTGAACCAACATACATCGGGGTAAGAGCCTCTTTTGGAAATCTTTGCCATTTCCTGATATTCCTCCCCTCACAGCCTCGGACCTCTGGGCTAGCCTGATATTCAGAGGGCTGTGTGAGGGGGGAACGTCATGTTGGCAGCTGTGGCCAGTGAGATCTCAGTACTCCGAGTCACTTGCAAGCAAAGGGAATTGCTCAGCATTTTTACACAGTGGCCCCAAAGCAAAGGAGTCGGGCCTTTGATCCTCTGCCATGTCCTCCTCACGTGACAATTTATGTCAGGGGGTACCACTGCATTCCCTGTAACTGGAATGATAAGGTGTGGGCTCTGGGCTTCAGTTCTTGCCTCTGTTTGTCCTTCTGTTGCCCCAAAGCCTCCTCTGCTCCCATCCCTGGCAGAGCTGAGGTACGGCAGCACCGTGATGCGCCTGGACTTCGTGTGGCTGCGCGACCACTGCCGCTCCGCCTCCTGCTACAACGCCAAGACCAAGCAGCGCAGCCTGGACACGGCCAGCGTGGACCTGGGCATCCAGCCCCAGGCCGTGCGGGTGGATGAGACCACGCTCTTCCTCACCTGTGAGTCCTGAGCTGCTGTGCCTGCTGATGGACAGCATTGCCCCAGATCTGCCTGGCTGGGAAGATACTGAGCCGTGAGCAGGTTTTAAACACTGCACTCACTCTGAACCCGTGCTTCCAAAGAAAGGCTCAGCAGTCTCTGTTGTTCGGTCTCAAGGCAGTTTATTGCAAGTTATCTAAAAGATTTTCTTCTGGGGCTGCTGTGGTTTGCTCAGCAGCTCAGGTAGAGGCACACACACACCCTGACATCCTCTCTGTCTGCTGTCTTCTTCTTCTCTCCCCCCACCCAGGGCTGCTGCTATATTTTATATGATATATTACATGTTCCATGTTTACAGTTTTCCCCCAATACCTACTACCTATATTACAAGGTGCTTTTCTACTCTAAACCAATCCATAAGTGCCAGCATCACCAAGAACATGGAGGCAAGGAAGAAGAAGGAGGAAGAACAGGATCAGCCCACTTTCCTCCATCTTAGAACTTCTGACCCCCATGTACAAAGTAAAAACCCCCCTGTACAGGTGCTAAAACCCCCCTGTACAATACTAAAAAATTTTCCCCTCTGCTTTGTAACTACTTTTACTATACTATCTAACCCTTTGTGACTGCTTGTTCCACCTCCAAAGTTGGTAATTCATTCCATGGCTCAAACTCAAAATCACAGCTGTTTGCAGCTGCCTGCCAGGGTCTAAAATGGTTCTGACCAAGGCCTGGAACCTCCAAAATTGTCTGAGAGACATTTTGAGTTCCAACATGAATGCACCTCTGCGTCAAAGTGGTGTGGTTTGCCTGCCCCAGCCCTTTTTGTGTGTATGTCTGGGCTGGTCAAACTCCCCCAGTAGTGCAGGTGGTGAACAGATGGAACATGACATGGTTGCTTCTCTTTTCCTTCCCTGTCCTGTGTGAGCAGCTGTCCTGCTCACCATGCCCGCTCTCTATCCTTTCTCCTCACTTTCCCAGCTGCTTTCTTCCTTTTGGTGGGGCTTACCTTTATTTGAGGGCTTGACTTCAGAGCTTTGATTGTCCTTAGAGGCCTGTCAACAAAAGCCAAAACCACTGCAGATGCAACAGTTGGCTGGGAATTTGGAGAGGGTTGCAGCAGCTGCCTTGGGTTTGGAGTTGTGGCAGCAATGACAACGCCTTTAGGACTTGTGGCCTTTCAGGTCACATTTTGGATGGCAGCAGAGTGCAAAGGACCCATCCCCAGACAGATGACAAGGGTGAGGCCTGTCCTGGGCTGACAGGTGCCACGATGTCGGGCTGGTCAGTGGGATTTTGGTGACTCTGTTGTCCCTGTGCCAGGGCCGGATGGACACGTGACACGGTACGGGCTGGAGTGGCTGGCGAGGAACAGCTACGAGGGGCAGAAGCAGCAGGTCATGCACCCCCGGATCCTCTGGAATGCTGAGATCTATCAGCAAGCCCAGGTCCCCTCCATCGACTGCCGGAGCTTCCTGGAGACAGACGAGGGGCTGAAGGAATTCCTGCAGAACTTCTTGTTGTACGGGATTGCTTTTGTGGAGAATGTCACTCCCACCAAAGAGGACACGGAAATCTTGGCAAAGAGGATCAGCATAATCAGGTATTTGGGCTATCCTGAGAAGGATAAACTTGTTTTCTTTCTGTTTGGAAAGCTGCTGCCCCTTTGTCCTGTGTTTTGTGTGGCATGGCCTGGTGTGCAGACAAATGCTCTGGCTGCTCCCCTGGACCTGGGATGGAGGATCCCACTGTGGGATCCACCCTCCTTTATGGAGGAGCTGTGAATCACTCAGTCATTGAGCTGCCCCCGAAGCATCCGATGACTTTTGTGACAGTGGGACCGTGCAGAGAGGAGGGACTGAAGGAAGTGGCTGGCTGGGAAGAGCAGGGCTTTGTGAGGAGAGACATTTCCTGTTATGACTTTGGGGGTCATGAGGGCAGCCTGGCCCTGGGAGCCAGGGAGATCAAAGACCAGTTGGAGCTCTTGCTAGAGAAAAACAGTGAGAGGTGTTGGTGCTGGGTTTGTGTAAAGCACCACCAGCATGGTAGGCCAGGAGCTGAGCCTGGGGCTTTATCCAAGCTGTAGAAACAGTTTGATTTGCCTGGGGCTGTTGGAAAAGGAGGGATTCTTCTTAATGAACAGTCACTCCAAATAGAAACAAGGGACTCCAGGGAATATCCAGCCAGCTTTTGTCTTCAGGCACCCTCCCCCTGGCCTTGCCTGGTGTCCCTTCCCTCCTGTGCATGTTGGAGGGGGGAGGCAGTGAAAACAGGATATTGGGAAGAAGAAATGGAATTACTGGGCAAACCTGTGTGGATACAAGTAAGGGCTGGCTGCACTTAGGCAAGTCCTTTTGTCACCTCCATGACTGGGCATGATGGTTGGTAGGAAACATCAGTGGTTGTGGAAGGGAAGACTCGTCACCACCAGCTTTTTGGGGAGGAAAGAGAGGAGCTGAACACAAGAAGAGGGATTGGAAGCACCAACCCTGATAATCTGAATTTTTTGAAGTTGTTCTGCTTTAATGACTGTACATTGGACAGAGGGGAATAACTCAAATGTAGGGGAGGTTGTGCCTTACCCAGACACTGACCTATAATAACTGCCCATTTCTTTTCCAGAGAGACCATTTATGGCAGGATGTGGTACTTCACCTCTGACTTCTCCCGGGGAGACACAGCCTACACCAAGCTGGCCCTGGACCGGCACACGGACACCACCTACTTCCAGGAGCCCTGCGGGTACGTGCTGCTGCAGGGACACCTTCACTGCCCCAGGCTTCTCAAAGCCCCATCCAACCCGTCCGTGGACACTTCCAGGGATGGGGCAGCCACAGCCTCTTTGGGTTTGGATTTTGGGTGACACATTGTGCTGCAGCTCCTGAAGTCCCCAGACTCGTTTCACTAGGTTTGGGAAGCAGCACAGGCAGCGCTGCCTCCTCACCCAGGAAAACGTGTGGGATTGGGTCTGGAGAAGCAGCAAGGATGGGGTGGTGCATCCCTGCACACACACTGTGTCCCTGGGGAGCACCTTGTGCCCGGGGGACAGGCAGCCAAGGCCATTCCTCTTGGATTCTGTCCCGGTGCAGCATCCAGGTGTTCCACTGCCTGAAGCACGAGGGCACGGGCGGGCGGACGCTGCTGGTGGACGGGTTCCACGCGGCCGAGCGGGTGCTGCGCCAGGCCCCGGAGCACTTCGAGCTGCTGGCCAAGGTGCCCCTCAAACACGAGTACGTGGAGAACATGGGCGGCTGCCACAACCACATGATCGGAGTGGGGCCGGTGCTCAACGTCTACCCCTGGAACAACGAGCTTTACCTCATCAGGTAATGGCCAGGAGGCCTCTGGGGTGGAGAGGGCGTTGTGGTGGTGGTTCTCCAGAACGTTCCATGGGCTGAACACCAGTGTATCTTTGATGAGCAGGGTTGTAGCCACAGGAACACACCCCGTGTTCCTCCTGCTTTAGAGGAAGCTTCAGCACTGCTGATACAAAGATGAGTGTCGGTGCTGAGCTTTGATTTTTTTTTTTACTCCTGGCATTCTCTTTTCAGCTCCAAGCTCTCATCCCATTCTATTTGAGATGCAGAAGAGTTTGGCCCTTCTCTGAAGAAACCCCTAGAAACTATCCTGGCACTCAGGGAACAGGGAGGGTGCAGAATGATCCCTTGCAAAGGGAACTTGGGCTGATTTTTGAAACTCCAGTTTGCCTCAGTTCTAGAGGTTGTGCGGCATTGCTTTGCACTTTCATTGTAAGCAACCCTCAGTCTAGCCATGTCCTTTCATGGAAAACCAGGAAGAACAAGTGTACACTTGATAGTAAACTCCTCTTGCTCTCAGTGCTGTTTCCTAAAGTCCTGTGCTGGCAGCACAGCCTCGTGGGTCACCTCTGCAGCCTCCCTTAAATGCCCACTGATCCTACAGGCTCCTGAGGTTCTCTTGGAAGCACCTGGAGCCACGCTGGGCAGTCTCTTGTCTCTCCTCTCCCTGCAGGTACAACAACTACGACCGTGCCGTGTTCAACACGGTGCCCCATGACGTGGTGCGCCGCTGGTACCGGGCACACCGCGCCCTCACCGCCGAGCTGCGCCGGCCCGACAACGAGCTCTGGGTCAAGCTGAAGCCAGGCAAGGTGGGACCTGCAGCTGCATCCTCTAGGACTGGTCCAGGGCGGCACTGGGAGCTGTGGGTTTGGCACAGGGAGAAGGGCAGGGTGCTCCGTGGGTGTGCTGGTGTCTGGGCACTGCCATATCCAACAGTTTTCCTCGTTCTGGGTGCTCCAGGGTTCACAGTAGTGGCTTCTGCGTGTGTGTTTTCCTGCTGTCCTAAAGCAGTATGAGATCCCAGGTGAGGCAGAGATGTTTAGTTCAAGCTCTGCCTCAGAGGAAAGTTACTCCCAGTTTCCAGCCACTGAAATGAGAATCCTCAGGAGCAGAGAGGCCAGAACGCTTAATGTTCAGGCTTTCACTTCTTCCAGAAGAAAATAGAGTTCTGAGGTTATGTTTGAGCTCTTACATGGGTAAGTGACACCTCAGAGGCAGGTGGTTGGGGCTGCCCCCTCCCTGGAAGTGTTCAAATCCAGATTCCGTGGGGCTTGGAGCAACCTGGGATAGTGGAAGGTGTCCCTGCCCATGGCAGAGGGTGGAACAAGATGGGTTTTAAGGTTCCTTCCAACCCAAGCATTCTGGGATTCAATGATAAGTTGGCCACTGTCTACTGCTGGTGAACTATTTCGTCTCCAGTAGAAAGGCAAATCCCAAAATGTGTTTCTGGGCTGTCTCCATAAAGAGCTGGTGAAAGAGCTGTGCTGGATCCTGTGGAACAGCTGGCTGTAGCCTCACCAGTGCCAATGTGGAACAGGAGGCTCGTGCCCACTATGCTACACCCTTACCTGCTCTTCCAGTGTCCAGAGGCTCCTGGCCGTGCCTGCTGTGGTTGCTGTCCTCCTGATGACCTTTTTCCTTTCCTGCAGGTCCTGTTTGTGGATAACTGGCGTGTCCTGCACGGCCGGGAGGCTTTCACGGGGTACCGGCAGCTCTGCGGGTGTTACCTGACCAGGGACGACGTGCTGAACACTGCCCGCCTGCTGGGGCTGCAGGCCTAGCCCACCCTCCAGAGAGCCAGGCAGCCCCCAGTCCCACCTCAGGGAGTGGCTGGCAGCCCCCAGTGTCACCTCTGGAAGTGGCTGGCAGCCCCCAGTCCCACTTTTGGGAGATCCAGCAGCCCCTCAGTGCCACCCCTGGGAGAGGTGGGAGCCCTCAGCCCCACTCCACACCAGGCCAGGTGAGCTCCAGGCCCTCTGTGCCGGTGCCTCACCACGACACAGACGCTGCAATACCTCAGACACCTCCACCCTCTCCAAGCAGCTCCCAGGATCTGCTCAGGCGAGGGGGCAGGTGGAAATCAAAGGTTGTGGTACCATTTTTTGGGACCGTACTGAGCCTTTGAGCACAGGCAGCTCTTGCTGTCTGTGCTCTCAGCCAGGGTGGCTCAGTCATGGTTAATCCCACCACACTAAGTGCTCCTTCAAGCAAGTGCCTTCAGGATTCCCTGTTTGGCCTTTTTTTTTCAGCTGCCAGTTTTAGGGGACTTCTAGCAGAGCAGAATGGAAATCTCCGGGATCTTGTCTCTTACCACTGATCAAGCAGCCAAGCTGCCTGAGAGAGGGCCTGGTGTACTTTGAGTGTTTCTGGGCAGGTTTAGGTTAGAGAAGGAAAAGGGAAGCACCAGGATCTGCATGTTGGGAAGCAGAGATGACAATGTTAGATGAGGGATGGAATTCCCACTTTTCCTTGACTTCCAGTACTGCCATGCTGCTGTTCCCTCTGCCTGTTTCACTGCACTTGAGGGCAAGGCTCAGCAACCCCAGGATTTCTGACAAACTTCCTCTTCCATCCTTTCTTAAGGCATTGGTGTTAGGTCATCATCATACTCTGTGGTGCACGAAACTCACTCTTTGGGTGTATTTTTTTTCCTAAAATTCTCCTCTAAATGTAACTCAGAAGTGCCTTTCAGCTCCTGGGAGCTGGGATCTGGCACGCTAAGTGCCGCAGGGTAAGGAACAAAAGCAAATCCTGCTGTTAGACATTTTTCATTCTGCCATATCTTTTGGGGTGTTCCCTCTGCTCCGACCTGACCTTAAAGCCAGGCTGTGTCCCTTCACCCCTGACTGTGCTGTGTGAGGTGCTCTGTGCCCTCAGGGCAGGTGCACAGGTGCTGAACTCGCTGCTCTTGTTTAATCCAAACACTGAATGTAGAGATCATGGTGCCACGACTCTCCTGAAATCTGCTCTTGCTGTGGGCTGAGCTCCCTGGTGCTCCCAGTCCCGGTGTTCCCTTCCCAGTGCTTCCCATTCCCAGTGAGCCCCTGGGAGTCAGCAGGGCTCAGAGGGATTTCTGAGCCCAGGCTGGGCAGATGGTGCCAGGGCAGCTGCCCTCTGTCAAGTTAAGCTCCATTAGCAGTCTTGGATCCTGCTAGGAGCCAATTTTAAAACTTAGCAGGAAAATTAAGCCCCCCTCCAGCCAACCCCTTTCTGCAGTGGAAGAAAAACACTAGGAGAGGTTCTGAGTTGGAGTCACAATTTCCTGAAGAAATTGCAATGATCACAATGATATTAATAAAAGATTCTACGAAATGAGAATGGTTTGCCCACAGAAAGGGTGTTTACCATCAAAAAGTGTCACCAGGTCCCTGGGACAAAGGTGAGAGGTGGCGGCTGGGACCTGTGGGGAGACTCCCATTGGAGTGAGCCCAGCAAAAGAAACTGGATCCCTCCTCTTCCAGTTTTGGAAGGGGACAAAGCCACTCCCACAGCCAAGAAAGAAAAATGGTTCTGCTTGCAGTGTCAGAGCATTCCCTGCTGGAAATGGCCCTCCTCCCGCGGTGGGGACAGCGCGGCTGAATGTCCTCGGGCTGGGCTGAGCCACCGCGGCATCCCCCACTGCCCTCCCTCATCCCTCATCCCTGATCCCTCATCCTCATCCGTGTCGCTGTTCGGACCTTTCCCTGGCCACACGATGGCACAAGATGCCAGAAATTGGTGTCTCAAAAACCCATCCCAGGCGGGCTCGGGGCTCCCGGCGGTGCCGGTGCAGTTCGTGCCGCTGCTCTCTCTCTCTCTCCATCCCTCTGGAGAAGCCCAGGAATCGCTGTTCAGAGCCTCCGTGGCTGTGAACGTTTTTTAGGAGCGGTGGGATGTGGTGCCCGTCGTACCAGAGGGTGAAGCAGAGGGCGGGGTGATGTGGGAGCATTGGAGGCTCGGTGTGGGGACCTGCGGGACGCTGGGGCTGGGCTGAAGGCAGGTGAGGCCAGCGCGGCTGATGGAACCCGGAGAGAGGCTGGAGGTGTTGCTGTGGCCCGGGATGCTCCGTTCCCATCTGCACATCCCGGGTTTGGTGTCCTTTTTGGCTGGGGCTGTCTGTCCCTCACCTCGAGTGTGTCCCCTCTCCCACACGCCCAGACCTTCAGCTGGCTCCACTGCCCCGTCCCTGTTTGCTGGCTTGTCCCACAGGGACCCCAGTTCCTCCCTTGGAACCCTTCCCTTTCCTCTTGCCTCTGCACTTCAGCCCCTCCTTCAGCGTTTGGGGCTCCCCAGAGTCCTCAGCCCTACAGTGAAACCAAGTCCTCCTCACTGACCTGCTGGCCACATTTTCCCTCCAGTATCTCCCAGAGCTTCCCATTTCCCCCCAGTGCACTCCAGAGCCCTTTGCTCACTCCCAGCTCTCAGAATTATGCAGGTGCAGCTTTCAGTGCATCGCCCTTGGTTCTCTCTGGTGCCACCGAGAGCCTCTGGACCTTCACAGGACTCGAATAAAACAGGGGGAAGCTGCTTCCAGCACAGCTGACAAGTATTTCCATTTTTAGCTTCCCTCCTCATTTGGGGCTTGGAGCAACCTGGTCCAGTAGAAGGGGTCTCTTCCCATGGCTGGAGGGTAGAACGGGATGGGTTTTAAGGTCCCTCCCAACCCAAACCCGTCTGGAATTCCATTATTTTGAGACAGATGTAACCAAATTAGGTCCCCGGCTCCTGATTCCAGGAGCATCTCTCCCGTAAACTGAAATTTCCTTTGCAGAAAGCCTGTGGGACGTAGGTGATCCCAGCACACCTCACGGGGTGGAGGGAAAAGCTGCTCACTTTTTCAAGGTGTTTTAGAACCAGACTGAACCCCTGCTCCCCCCAGAACCGGGCTGGGGGGGGGAGTTCCAATTCTGCTGCAGGCTCTGGGAGAGGTTGAGCTGTGGGGAAGGGATGGGGATAGATCTAATGGCCTCGGGGCATGAAAATAACCTGGGATATCCCCCGTAATTTTTATTCCTGTGGGAATAAAAATTCCCTGCCCTGTGCAGACAGAGCCCCGGGCGGCCCGGGAGCCGCCGATGGATCCGAGCGCGGAGCCGGAGCCATCGGCAGCTCCTTTTCCCCCGGGGGAGCGGGGACAGGAGCGGGAGCTGCCGCTGCTGCCACTCCCGGCGAGAGCCTGGGAGGGGAATGGGCAGGAAAACAGGCTGGGAATAGCCGCGGCACCGGGAATCCATCCCAGGGCTGCAAAGCCACGGTACCGCCTCACCTGCTGCTCTCAGCAGAGCGCGGAATTGTGAGGGGATTTTTTTATTTTTGTTTAAAATCGGGGCAATCTGGGGCTGTTTTCCCTCGGCAGATGCTGCTGTGCCAACCCGCGGAGCTGCTGGGCACTGCCTGGGTGCTCCTCGCAGGTAAGAGGGGTCCTGGGCTGGGCTGGGCTCCTCGCCTCCTCCAAATCCCTCTGGAGCCGAGCGTGGGGAGCTCTGTGCCGGACTTTTTAAGTGGGTAAAATGTTTAACCTACAAGGCAAACGCGTGTTTGTCCAAGGAGAGAGGAGGTGGAAGAGCCACACACAGCTCCGGGCATTAAAAGTCTGCTGCAGCCAGATTTATAGTGGGGCTGATAGATGTACTCAGACATAAATATCGGTATATATGTTGATATCTGTGTTCGTGTTAAAGATGGATGTGTAAAAAATATTTGGTGATTTTAAACCCACAAATTTTATTTCAGTTAAACTCATGTGAGTATTTTCACTGTGCTCCTTTAAATAGCCACTGGCTGCCTTGAAACACAAACCATGGGATAACAGGAGGGTTTGGGTTGAAAAGGACCCTAAGTTCATCCCATTCCATCCCCAGGTTGCTCTGAGCCCTGTCCAACCTGGTCTTGAACACTTCCAGGAATGGGGCAGCCACAGCTTCTCTGGGCAAGGTGTGCTAGATCCAAATGCACAAAGATTTTCAGGATGGGCATCTAAAATGGAAGCCCATTACCCTACAGCTTGATTTTGGGATGATGTCAGTGAGATCTGTGTCTGTAGGAAGAGTTTTGGCCATTGCAGCTGCAGAAGATGGAGCATTTTCCTCTTTCCTTCAGCTCATTGTTCTGTTCTCTGTAAATAGTGTTTTCTCAGCAGAAAAAGGAAATTTTTCAGGGATTTTTTTTCAGAGAATAAGAATTTTTAATCATTAAATTGTCTGAGGATCAGGAGGGCATGAAAACAGCTGCCTTTCAAGGTTATAAGAGTTAGAAATTAAAATCACCTGATGAACTTGACTTTTCCTGGATTGTCACACTTATCTTCCCTCCCACCTGTGCAGCACCATCCCCAGTGGGAGCAGCAGGAGTTTCCAGGGCAGTTTTCCTGGCAGGTGCAGTGGGAATGCAGGTGAACAGGTGCTTATCGGGGCAGGAGCTGGGACAGGGCCGAGAGCAAACACAGCCTGTGAGGATCCCTGGCCTCTGCCCAGCCCCGGAGCCACGGGGCCGGGGAGCCTCCCCCTGCCTCTCCTCTCTCCTGGAATCCTCTTTGCCAGGGATGGGGGGCTGGCAGCTGTGACCTTCCCACAGCAGCTCCTCCTTAAGTCCTTGAGCATCTGCCTGAGCCCAAATTGTTACAAGCCCAGAAATTTTGGGATGGTAACTGCATCCTGCACTGTGGGGGGCACGTGGGCACCTTCAGCCCCAAACAAGACCAGGAATTTTGTGGCTGTCACATCCTTGGAAGTGTTCAAAGGCAGGCTGAACAGGTTTGGAGCAGCCTGGTCTAGTGGAAGGTGTCTCTGCGGATGGCAGAGCTGGCATGGGCCAGGCTTTGAGCTCCCTTCCAACCCAAACCTTTCCAGGGTTCTCTGAATTGGGAATGAGCCATGGAAATTAGGTCAGTACAACAAAACCTCAGAAGCTCATTCCGCTGCTCTGCCATGGGCAGAGACACCTTTCCCCAGAGCAGTTGCTCCCATCCCTACCCCTCTCCTCCCTCCAGGGCTGCTGGTGCTGCTCCCTCCAGCTCTGGGAGCTGTCCACAGAGCCGTGGCTGTGGGATCCTCGGTGCTGCTCCCCGGGCTGGATAACACCCACAGCGATTCCATGTGCTGGGAATTCCTCAATGGCACCGGTCCCCACCCCATCCTGCAGCACGAGGGGGGGACCCACACCCCAGCCATCCACGCTCCCTATGCAGGACGAGCTGTTTTCCATCCATCCAATGGATCCCTCCTGCTGGAGGATGTCCAGCAAAGTGACAGTGGCACCTACAGAGTGACTGTCAGCTCAGGAGACAGGAGGAGCCTGGAAATCCAGCTGGAAGTCCTCCGTGAGTGGTGGGTGTGGGAGGGAGGAGTGGGGTGATGGATCCAAGCACCATCTGTCTGTACATGGAGCAAGAGCCAGGGCAAAGGGGCTGCAGAAGGGATTTGAGCAAAGGCTGACGGGCCAGTCCTGAGCTTGTTGGCACCTGCCATGTGTGGAGACAGCACCGAGGGACCTTGCAAAGAGGTTCCCAACCTGTCCTGGGGGAGCAAATCTGGAAGTGCTGCCCAGTGAGACCTTCCAGGGGCCTGGCTGGGTCAGTGGGACAAGTCCCATCCTGGAAAGGCAATTCCATCCCTTGTTTCTCACACAAGGGATGGAGGGACCGGTGGGAGGATAAAGGGATGACAGAGTGACTGGTAGGATGATGGAGGGACTAGTGGGGTGATGGGGGTGATGGAGGGACCAGTGGGAGGATGGAGGAACTGGGGGGGTGGTGGAGGAACCAGAGGGATAACAGAGGGACTGGTGGGTTGCTGTGACTCTGCCACCTGCAGGGTCGCTCCCCCCAGCACTTTGCCAGGAGACCCCTGGCAGAGCCAATGGAGCTGAGGTTTCTGGAGAGTCACCACCCTCTCAAGGCCAGGCTGTCCTGTTTGCTCTCTGCAGGCACCAGCTGCCACCACAGAGACAAGAGGCACTTGAAACAGCCTACAAGTCCCTCCTCAGCACTGCTGCTAGCAATTCCCTTAATTTGCTCTGGCTTATCTCACCAATCATGCCATGGCCATAATGCCACCACGGCCCTTCATCTCCCACCTCTCCATCCAACCACACACAATCTGAGTGGGATCTGCTGCCTTCTCTGCTATTTTCTCATTTCCTGATGCATTTCAAAGTGCTCTGTACTTACCCACATCCATTAAAGCAGTGATTCAACTGCAAAAAGCACAATCCTGGAAAGCACAGCAGCAGGATGGACTTCCCAAGGGAAGGCACCGTGACCACACTGTGGCTGCTGCTGTGGTGGCAATTGCAGCCCAAGGGCTCATCAGGGATGCTCCAGGTCACATTCACTGGCACAGATTCCCAGAGAAGTTGTGGCTGCCCCATCCCTGGCAGTGTCCAAGGCCAGGCTGGACAGGCCTTGGAGCATCCTGGGATGGTGGAAGGTGTCCCCGTCCATGGTAGGGGGTGGAATGGCTTTAAGGTCTCTTCCTACCCAAACCATTTTGTGATTCTATGTCTGAGAGAAGCACTGGGGTCTCTGTTCCCTTTCCAGAGCCTGTGTCCCGCCCTCAGCTCCGGACCAGCAGCCTCCTGGCTCGGGCCACCGGCCAGGTTGTCTGTGAGGTGGCAGAGGGCAGAGTGGACACCATCACCTGGAAGAAGGATGGGCAGCCCCTTCTCCCAGACAGAGTTCCCCAGCTGTCCAGCAGCCGCAGTGTTCTGTACCTGAGGCCAGCCAAGAAGTCAGACTGTGGCTCCTATTCCTGCAATGCCAGCAACGGGATCAGCTGGCAAGAAACCTCCCTGGAGGTCACCATCGAAGGTCTCACCTCCCACTGCTCCTCCTGCCCTCCACCCTTCCCTGGGGACGTCTCAGTGGTTCCATCCGCTCCCTCAGCCTCCATCCCCGTGGTCTGGCTGGCCTTCCCAGGAGGCAGTGCCTACACGCTGCTGCCAGGAGCTGCCCATCTTGGGATGATCAGCAGCAATTCCCTGCCCCTGATCCCACCAAGGCACAGTCCTTGGCAGGAGATTGGCCATTCCCTCTTGGGGCAGGTCCAAAGCTGTGGCAGGACTTGGGCAGGAGGGTGGCTGGGAAGATTTGAGGAGCACCCACCCCAGGCTGGACATTGCATGGAGCGTATTTGGCCACCAGCTGGCAAATAATTGGAATCTGTCCTGGTGATGGAGGATCCCTGCGGCCACCAGAGCCAGGGGGTTGGTCCTGTTGATGTCCTGTCTCCTGCCCCTCGGGGTCGCTCTTTTCCAGGTCTCTCCCATCGCTTGAAGCACACCCTGAGGATTGCGGTGATCGCTGTGGTCTTCGCTGCTGTCTCAGCGTGGGGATTAATTATTCCCGTCTGCCAGTCCGAAAAGCTCAGGATAAGTGAGCTGGGGGGAGCGGGACCCCATTTCCCTTGTGTGGCAGGGGAGAGCAAAGAACATTGCTCTGGGAACCCCCAAATCCTGGGATATCCTACAGCATCTGGGTGGGGATGGACTGTATCCCACCCTGAGGAAGGGGTGATGGCTGCCACGGGATTCCCAGGGGTCACAGTGGTCACCCCGCTCTGCTCTGGGTTTTTAGGGGGGGAGCTCTGGAGGTGGCTCAGCTCCTACACCTGTGGGCTGGTGTGCATCGCCTGCATCCTGGATGGCACCGCTGGCATCCTCTGGATGTGGGAGGAAGGTCAGAGGGGGCTGTGGAGAGGTTTGGAGGGAGGGGGGACAAACCCCATGGGAGAGTCCAGTGGGGCCCAGAGAGGAAGGCAGTGAGGGACAGGGGAGTCACACCACGGAATGTGGGGGACAGACCCATCCAGAGAAATACATGATCCATGTGTGGTGTCCATGTGTGATCTCCATGTGTGATCTCCAGGTCTGGAGGAGCTGGACCACCATGTGCATTACACACCCCCCTGGACAATTAATACAGTTATTCCCCTTTTCCCAGAGCCCTTTCCCAGGATGAGTCCCAGCAGCACAGTAAAATGATCAGAGAATGGAGAGGCTGCAAGGAAAGGCTGGAAGTCAGAGGAGGGTGGGGAAGGCATGTAATGCAGAGTTCCCAGGTGTTGAAGGGGGTGGGCAATGGAACATTGAGGTCTCTGCCTTGTCCTGTTGTCTTCCAGGCCCTTCTGTGGTTGTCATACTGCCCGAGATCACCCTGAGCTACCTCACCGTGGTGACCTTCCTGGTTGCCACCACCGTGATTTTCCAGCCTACAGATTTCAGCCACCTGAAGTGCAAAAAGGGTGAGCGGTCCCACCAAGGATGGACCAAACTGGTCCACAGGGAGGTTATTCTGCCCAAAATGTCATCCCTAACATTTTAAAATGAGAACTCCTGTGCTGACCCAGGCTGGTAGATCCCTCACCAGTGCCTGGGTGAGGCCAGCCCTGCACCCACACCTCATCTACATCTCTTTCTCCTGTGCACCTCTGCAGCACAGCGCACCATGGGCTACGCCGCGCCGGGGGCTGTGGTGGCTGTGGTGCTGAGCAGCACCTTCCTCATCAAGAGCATCTACCACCGCCACGGTGAGCAGAGACCCTCCAGGGACCACCCCAAGAACACAGCTCATGACATCCCCACATCCCTTCAATTCGGCTGTTAGGCCTCCAAAAACAAGCCCAACAAACCAGGAGTTTCGGGGAAGTGAAATCTTGGCAGGAGCAAAATTCGGTTTCAACATCCTCCACCTATTTTATTTTCTAATTTTTTTGTGTGTGTTTGTGCTTTCATGGTGGCAACCTGCCTTCCTCCTTTCCCTGCCCCTGCTGTTTTCTCGGGCAGTAGAAGAAGGATGCACGGAGTTCATGGACGTGACCATCCTGGTGTGCAGCGCAGCGGCTGTGTCGGCCCTCCCGCTCCTCGCCATTGGCCTCTGCTGTAAGTCTGCTCCTCCTTCCCCTTCCAGCCCCTCACAATGCCTCGCTGTCCCCACACCAAGCAGCAGCCACAGGAATTGTTTAAAAGTGGTTTATTTGGCTTTTGTGAAGCCCCCGTGTTAAATAGTTCCCACTGACTGTTTCCCTCCCCTGGGAAGTCCTAAATACAGCACCCCATCCTTGGTGCCTCTCACACCTTCTCCTGATTTGGGGACAGATTTGTCTTTTACACGTCACACGACTCAGGGCTGGAGCAAGGACTGTGATGACTGTTGGATGGACAAAGCCAGGTAGGTCCTTTGTTCCTATTTTCCACATAAATTCCTCTTTTCCACATGAATTTGTACATCTTGAAGCAAAAGAAGCAGGATATGGAAACTATCCTGTGTTTTAGGTTAAGACCCAGACCCCAAGAAAGATCCAGCCCAGCTGTGCCCTGCAGCCCCTATGTTCTTGCTGGGTTCAGGGGGAGGCTCTGGTGGGGTCCCCATCCAGCAAAGCACTTGAGAGCCCACTCAAAACTCCCATTTATGGCCTCAACCTGAAGTTTTTAAACCTTAATTCCTCCTGGATTCATGGATTAACAGAATGGTTTAGGTGGAAAGGGAATTCTATGATTATCCAGTTCCACCCCCTGCGCTGGGCAGGGACACTTCCATGATCCCAGGCTGCTCCAAGCCCTGTCCAGCCTGGCCTTGGACACTTCCAGGGATCCACAGCTTCTCTGGGCACCCTGTGCCAGGCCTTCCCACCCTCAGAGGGAACAGTTTGGATGCTCAGCATGTCCTCCCTCCTCTTCCTTCCAGGTCCTTTGAAATGTCTCAGCCAGGCACCAGGGACACCATTCCCAGCTGAGATCCATGTGGGTGCCTCTCACTTGGCTAAGCCAGTCCAAGCCTTCCCCCAGGTTTAGGGGGTTCAGGGGTCTCAGTTTGGGTTCCTCTGTGATCCTCATAATAAATGTTCATTAAATTAACCTGATTCTGCCTTTTTTAGTAATAAATCAGACCCAGGGGAGGCCAAATAAATGCACATTTCCCCCTTTCTTTCTGCAGAAAACCAAAGCCTGAAGTAGAGAAGCCCCTTTAGCAGCAGCTGCAGGAGTCTTTCACTTGTTCATTTAATGTTTGTTTACAACAATTTAGAGCTATTTGTGTAAGATATACCTGGAACTAGCATGAAATAACTTTTCTGGGAGTAACCCTGTCGTAACTTTAAATAGATTCCAGCTTTACCAGTAGTAAAGGCAGAGTAAGGACATGAAGGCACAAAAACCATAGTGGGAGGAGGTGGATGCTGTCAACAGCTCTTCCTCAGGTCCATCCCAGGGCGTCTGACACACTCTGGGATTTATTTACTCAGAAAATCGTACTCAGCCTGTGCCAGTGGCTGTTTGTCCTGGCTGTCACAACGCACTGAGATGTTTCCTGCAGCCCAAAGGAGCCTTTTCCACCCACAAACAGCTGCTGAGCACAGCCCTGCACCCAAAGGACCCCAGAAGAACCCCAAACCTCCCCAAAAAGCTCCCCTGGGGCAGCCCCGACCCAGCTCCTTGGAAGGCAGCTCAACCCAGGCACTGCCAGGGCAGCTGCCAGGCTCCCATGACTCAGGGAATGGGGCCAGGTTAAAAATACCCTCACCCAGACTCGGGGCAGAGCTGCTGGGCTGTTCTTAACCCCAGCTGAGTCCCTCAGGCTGTCACTGCCACAGGAGCAGGTGAGGGAGGGGATGGGGATGCAGGAACCCCACAAGGGGAGCAAAGGATGTCCTCAAGAGGAAGGGATCATCTCCCAGAGCTGGACACCAGGACAAATCCAGCATTCCCAGCCCTGCCAGCAGCCACGCCCCACCAGGGGCTGATTCCTACCCCACTGCTACCCCAGGCTCCAAGGGGGCATTTCCCACCCCTAAACATCACAGCAATACCCTCTGGGATAACATACACTCTTTATTAGCAGCAACAGACATCAACAAAACACAAAGTCTCCAAAACCAGTCACAGACAACTCCCCAAAACGCTTAGAAAAGTATTTCTTGCAAAACGTGTGGCTACCTTTTACACCCTCAAGTGCAACAGAGAACATGACAACCTGCCCTGCAGCTTCCAACAGGGTTAGAATCTCACTGATTCCACCCAAACTCCTCTGCTTCCTTTAATGGTTCCACAAAGCCCCAGGCTGAGATGGCCCCTTGCTAACAGCCCCTGAATCCTGCAGAGATCCCTCCCACAATTTTCCAGGTTGCCTTTGAGAGGTCCCCAGCCTGCTCCAGAGGTGCTGGGGACTGGCTCAGGGAGGGCCCTGGACCTGGGATTTCCCCCTCAGATTAAAAGGGGGTGAAAATGTCCTGAGGTGACCAACAGTGAGGTCCAGCACCTGGGGTAGCATCCACTCCTCTCCAGGCTGGGGATGCCTGCTCTGCCTCCTGGCTCAGCTGAAGGAGTAACATGCCCTCCACAGCAAAGCCCAGGAGGCTGCACACCCAGCACAATCCTGGCCTTTCTCCTCCCTCCAAGGGTCACACGGAGCAGGATGCCCAGAGCCTCAGCCCCTGAGCCCCCTGGCAAACCCCTGGCACAGCAGGGCACCAGGAAGCCCCAGGGAGGCACGGCTGGCACTGGGGCACCTCCCAGCAGCCTCACGACTGTGAGTTTGCCCAGCAGGAGCAGCGGCTCTTTCCAGAGCCATGAGCCCATCCAGGCCTCTGGAGGAAGCCAGGAGGATGGAGGAAGGGAGCAGGTACATCCCTCTCCCCAAAGATGCACAACAGGAAGAGCAGGACAACATATGAAACCAAACCAGTCCAAACCAGTGTTAAAAAAAAATGTTTGCAGATCCTGGCAGCTTGAACACTTCACAGGCAAGCCCCGGAGAGGCTGGGATGGGATGGGATACTTGGCACTCCCAGTAGTATCCATCACCTGGAAAGGGCTAGAGCAGGACTGACCTAGTTCTACTGCAAGGAGAAGAGAAGGCTCCAGTCAACAGCCTGAGTGTGTTTGTGGTCACAGAGAGGGAGTGATTTCTGAGAAAATCTCGAGAATCATCTGCTTCTCAGAAATCTCTGGAGTGTTCGAAAGCCCACCCATTATTCAGAGTTAAGGTAACCAGGAGTGTCAGGGTCTGGGTGGAAGAATCAGAAATATTTCCAGAGTGGGGATTAAATAGAGGGGACAGCAGGAGCCTCCAGGGTGGGAGAGCAGCCTCTTACCAGAGGCTGGAATAGCACCCTGAGCTCTCCTACTTCTCCAGCTCACTTGGATCCAGCCAAGGATAAATTTGGGCTTGTAGAGAGAAAACTTTGGCTGGAACAAGGGGGCTACCCCAAGAGGGGGCTGGAGGCATCTTACCAACAGTTGTCACATGAGTTCTCCCTTCTCTGGTACCAGACGAAGATACCTGGGGACAAAGCAGCAGCATCAGAAAATCCCAGAATCCCAGAACCGTTTGGGTTGGAGGGACCTTCAAAGCCCATCTAGTTCCAACCCCTGCCATTGGCAGGAACACCTTCCACTAGCCCAGGCTGTCAGAGCCCCATCATCCACAGAGACCAGCATGACCTTCTTGGACTGGGGACACCCTGCTGGAAACAGCAGCTGTGACAAAACCCAACCCCTGCCCACGGGATGCCAGGGTGGGGAGCCAGGTCCTGGCAGGGATGTGCCATGTGGAACCCTCTCACCCATCTCTGGTGGCCACAGCACTTGCCATGGCACCCGCCAGCCAGAAATAGGGCAAAGAGCCACCTCAGCACCCACCTGCGAGCGAGCCGATGACGACGCAGGTCAGCATCACAGGCAGCACCACACTGGTATAGTCTGCAAAGGGGAGAACAGAGCCTCTGCACCAGAGCAAATACAACCTGAATTTAACCCACCCACAGACTTCCAGGAGAGAGAATCCCTTTCTTGGGTGGTCCCCCCATTTTTCTCCTGGGCAGGGGAAGGAATGCACTCACGGTGGACCTTGAGCAGGAAGGAGGTCTCATTCTGGCTCACGGCGTTGCTCACCACGCAGGTGTAGTAGCCGCTGTCGCTGATGGACGTCCGCAGGATGCAGAGCGTGGTGTTCTCCACAAACTTGATGCGCTCACTTTCCGTGAGCAGCACCCCATTTTTCATCCACCAGTAGGCATCTGCCTTCCCTTGCAGCACGTTGCAAACCAGTTTGGTGTTGCTTCCTGCCTTCACCCAGGAGTTGCCCACAATTTTTGGCTGGGACAGCGGCTCTGGGAGAGGCAGAGGCAGCGTCAGCAGTCAAACCCGTGGCGATCCCAGCTCCAAGCCACGGAGGAGAGCTGGCCGTGGCACCACTCACCCACAACGTGCAGATGGAACCAGGTGGTGGCCTCCTCCAGGGCCCTGAGGCGGTAGAGGCGGCTGTCCCCGCGCTGCAGCACCACCTGCAGCGACAGGTTGGACTCGTTGAACGTCACGCGTTTCTCGTAGAGCTGGGACACGTTTGGGGGGTGATGGAAACCATAGCTGAGGATGACACCGTCCTCCGAGCCCGCTCGGTACTCCCAGGCCACGGCCCTGCTGCCCCGCAGCGCCGGGGCCGTCAGCAGCACGGTGCAGCCCACGGCCGACACCAGGCTGCCCGCGGCCGGGCGCAGGTCGGCCGAGTAGCAGGGAGCGAGTGTGCGGGCTGGAAGAGAAAGCAGGAGTCACCCCAGAGCTGCAGGGATCCCACTTCATCCACCTGGGAGGTGCTGCAGGAGCCCTTCCTGCCTCGGCTGCGGAGGGAATTATTTATAGAATCATGAATCATGGAAGGGTTTGGGTTGGAAGGAACCCGAAGGATCGCTCAGTTCCATGGGCAGGGACACCTTCCATTATCCCAGGCTGCTCCAAGCCGCAATGTCTAATCTGGCCTAGGGGTTAGAACACTGCCAGGGATGGGGCAGCCACAGCTCCTCTGGGAAACCTCTGCCAGGGCCTCACCTCCCACACAGCAAAGATCTTCCCCCAGTATCCCATCTAACATCCCTCCGGCAGTGGGAAGGCATTTCCCCTTGTCCTGCCCCTCCATCCCTTGTCCCAGGCTCTCCTGGAGCTCCTTCAGGCCCTGGCAGGAGCTCTGCGCTCTCCCTGGATCCTTCTCTTCTCTGAACGCCCCCAGCTCGCCCAGCCCGGCCAGAGGGGCTCCGTGTTCTCCTCGGGGCTCCCTGCAGCAGCTGCGGCTCGCTCCTGTGCCGTGCCGTGCCGGGCCAGCCCTGCAGCTGTGCTCTCACCTGAGGGCCCACCCGATGCCCCCTGCCCACAGCTCGGCGGGCCCTGCGGAGCTGCTCACCCCCCACACCCCAAACCCCTCAGCAGCGCCATGGAAAAGCTCCCTCCTGCTCTGGGGGGCACGGACGGAGCTGCGGCACCCCCGGGCACAGCCCCCCGCCGGGAACCCGCGCTGAGAGCCGGGAAAAGCCGCAAGTCCCTGCCCGACCTTCCCCTAAAAGCTTTGCCCCGGGATTAAGGCGTGCCCGAGCCCCGGAGCCGCCGTCGCTCCGTGTGGGATCAGGCGCCAGGAGCGGCTCCCCAACGCCGGGAGCGGCTCCGTGAGGGCGCCCGGGAGGTGCCGCCCGCCTCCCCCGCGGCCCGGCTCGGACCTCGGGCACCCGGGCCGGGACCCCCCGGCCCCGGGGCTGACACTCGCCTGTGACCCCCGGGGCGGCCGCGGCGCTGCCGGGGGCGAGGAGGAGGGGGAGCAGGAGGGGGACGGGGAACATCTGCGGGGCCGCCGGGCGACAGCTCCGCCGCCAGCCTCGGGCAGCTCCTCTGGGCGGGCCCGCGCGGGGCTGCCCGCCTCTCCTGCTGCCGCTGCCCTCCTCCCGTCCCCTCTGCTCCCCTCCCCTTCCCTCCTAACCCTCCCTTTCTTTATTGCCCTCCTCGCCTCCTCTCCTCCTCTCTTCCACTCCTCCTCCTCTTCTATTTTCCTCCCGCTTTTCTCCTCCTCTCCTCTCCTCTCCTCTCCTCTCCTCTCCTCTCCTCTCCTCTCCTCTCCTCCCTCTCTCCCTTTTCTTTTCCTCCTCCTCTCTTCCTCCTTCCCCTCAACCCCTCTCCCCTTTCCAGGACTTCCAAACCCAGCACACACAGCCCCCCAAGGCACTCCCTCCCCCCGTCCGTCCTGTCCGTCCTCTACCTGTCACGGTGTAAAACCCCCAAATCCCAGCTCGGGGACACTGGGGGAATGGCCTCACCCTGTCCCCTCTGCTCAGGATCCAGCTCAGCCACAAAACCTGGGGGTTAGCCATTTCCTGGAGCAGCTCTTTCAGCTCCTGGCAGGGCTGTGGGAAGGACGGGAGATGGCTGAGATGCTGCTCTTGCAGGAGATTCACCTCGGAATGCTCCAGGCGGGATCGGAACAATGGTGTTTTCCTTCCCCAGGAGTTTGTGTAGTTTGGGAAGTGTTGGGATCTTTGTGGCAGCAAAACAGAAATCCCATGGGGAGGCTCTCCAGGAGGAGAGGAGGACGAACGGGGACACAGGTGTGGCCAGGGTGGAGCCCACGCAGCCATCCCAATCCCACTAGAGGGAGCGAGGAGATCAGCTGTGCCAGGAGCCGCTGGGACCGGCGAGCCCAGCCCAGGGAAGGAGCTGCAGCAGAACTTCCCTCTCACCGTCTCTCATTGTCCTGTCATTGCCTGTCATTATCTGTCATTGCCTGTCATCCATCGCCGGAGCCGGGACGCTCCTGCCCGGGATGTGGATGTCTCGGGAGCTGCTGTCCTGCTTTGGGATGTTCCAGAGGCTCCTGCTCCTCATCCCTCCTGGGATTTATGGGGCTCCTCCACCCATCCTTTCCCTGCCAAACTCCCGCCAGCAGCGCAGGGAGCACCCCTGGGTCCCCACAGAGCCTTTGTGCTCCTCTTTTCCCTCTCTCCCTACACCTTGGCTCCCAACCTCCACCAGCCATAGGCCAGGAAGGGCTGTGAGGACCAGCTTGTGCCTGTCCAAGCCAATGTCCTGTCCCACCTGGGTGACCACCCATCCCTCCATCCTCCGTCTGGCACGTGTGAGGCTGGAGCAGCTCTGGAGCAGCTCCGATGCCACCGGGCAGGGAATGTGTCCACCTACTCTGTGCTAACAGGGACAAACAAACGCTGGCCCCAGCCCACGGGCAGGAGATAGCCAGGGAAGGGCTGGGGTGCTCTCAGGGTTGGAGGGAGGAGGTTGGATGCCTGACCCTCCCACTGGAAATATGGTGTGATGAGGAAGAGGCTTTTCCCAAAAAACACCTCAGCACAGGAACTGATAGGTTCCAATCGAAAGATAATCTGAGGGCACATTCCAGGGAGGTTACGGCAGCTCCTGAGCCGCACGCGATGATTTCACGTCGCAGGGGTTGCTGTTTCCTCAGGGAGGACCGTGCGGGCAGCCCTGCTCCTCCGAGTCATCAGCTGCCGGAGCCAGCGCCGGGCTGGGCTGAAAGGAGCAGCGCGGGGAGCTGAGAGCCAGCCCTGGCACCTCCTGCACTGACCCAGCTCAGGGGGTCTGCCTGGGCCATCCCAGGAAACGTGGAAAACAATTAAAATTGCACGTTCCACCACCCTGCCTGAAGCAAAGTTAAGCAAATCCAAGGGACAGGCTGTGAAATCCCAGACACAGCTCCAAGTCCGTGTCCGAGTTTCCCCCATCCCAGCCTCACAGAGAGCACTGGGAAACCTTAGCAAGCCCCTCTCCTGCTCCCCTGCACTCGCTCTGCATCACGGGGCACTGAGGAAACAGATTTCCAGGCTCTGCCTGACCCAGCTCTCCCAGTACACAGACCAGGAAACATTAGAAGTGAAAAACAACTCCTCAGCCAGGACTGAGGCATGCTTTTCACCCTGGCTCTCACCCAATTTTCTCTGCACAGCTCCAGTTCTGGTCCTGCCCTGACTCACAGACAAACCTTCTCTCTCCAAGAGGGCAGCCCCAGGCTCTGGAGTTCTGATTGCTCCTGCTTTCCCTCTGCTCCTCAGCAGAGCTCAGCCATGCCCCTGTCCCATCCCAGGGAGCAGCACAGAGAGCTGTGGTCCCAGGTTCCTTCAGCACCAACATTTATGCCCCAAATAGCAAATAATAGAATTGTGGAATGGTTTGGCTTGGAAGGGATCTGAAACCCATCCCATTCCACCCCCTGCCATGGACAGGGACACCTTCCACTAGACCAGGCTGGCAGCTGTTGCCCAGATGTGCCCTTTGCAGCTCTTCCCCCCTCACCTGGCTCGGCAGGTCCTGAGCCCTTTTCCTGAGAACAACCGGGAGAGTTGAGTTATCACAGGATTTTCTAGACATAATTAATCACCTCCCTGCCAGATCCCAGACTCCAAGGAAGACATCTGGCCTGGGGAAACATCTCATACCAGGATATTGATGGGGCTCTGGCACTGGGTAGACACTGAGCTGGCAGAGAGGCAGGGAAATCAGTCCTGGGCCTGGCAGATGCTTTGGATGGGAGATCCCCTGCTCTGAGCCCCAGGGGCTCAGAGGAGCCCTGGCTTCATGGGGCTTCTGGGGACTCTGCAGGGTTGGTGGGGAGGGGATGGCCCATAGGGCAGCCACCTCCATGATGGTCTGGGGGCTGCTGAGCTGGCTGGAGTCTGGGCTGAGGCCACCCACCCTCCCCAGGGCCCAGGGGACAGGAGGGAGCGGCTCTGCGGGGAAACCAGTGCCTCTGTGCTTTCTCAGGTCTCACTTTCATTTCACAGGTAACAGCACCAGGAGCCACAGACTCACCTGAGTGCCACATCAGCACCAGGGAACAGCAGCTTGTCCCACCTTTCTGCTTTCCAACCTGCTCCACACTTGGAGCACTCACATGGGAATGTGAGCCAGCAGCAGGACAGAGCCTGGGGCTCAGCAGGGATGGGCAGCCCTGTGCCCAGTCTAGGAGGGCAGGGGGGGCACAGCCCTCCCAACAAGGCCTCCAGGAGATGCTCAGCAGCTCTTTCCCCCTGTGCTGTAAACATGCACCTCTCTGAGCCTTTGCTGGTGGCCAGAGCTGACATGAGGTCCATCATCTAAACCCAGCTCAGGTCGTGTCCCTCCAGCCCTGAGACTCTCTCTTCTCAGCCCAGGGACACTGGGGTCACCCTAGCAGTTCCCACACTGTCCTGTGATGGTGGCGTGAAGCATATTCATAAACCATGGAATGGCTTGGGTGGGAAGGGACCTTAAATGTCACCCAGTGCCACCCCCTGCCATGGACCACCTTTCACTGTCCCAGGCTGCTCCAAGCCCCAGTATCCAACCTGGCCTTGGGCGCTTCCAGGGATCCAGGGGCAGCCACAGCTTCCCTGGGCACCCTGTGCCAGGGCCTGCCCACCCTGCCAGCAGAGAATATGTTCCCAAATATGTTCCCAACATCCCATCTAACCCTGCCCTCCGGCAGAGTGAAGCCATTCCCTGTGTCCTGTCGCTGTGTACCCCTGAAGCGACACTCTGGGGCTCCCTGGGGACACGCTCCGTCCCCGCGGCCCCGCTGCCCCCCGAGTAGCAACCCCGGGGCCACCATCGCACCCGGTGTCCCCCCGGTGGCCACGAGAGACGCCGCCCCTTGGGCCACAGGCCACCTCCCCAACCCCGCCCCCGGCCCGCCCCGCCCGTCCGTCCCGCCGCGCTCGGGCCCGGGGCAGCGGCACCGGGACCGCGGCACCGGGACCGGGCCGGGCCATGGCCCCGCACCCGCCCAGCGCCGGGCAGTACCTGCGCTCCGACAGCGGCGGCTCCGACACCCCGATGCTGGCCGAGGGTCCCGCTGCCGGGCCCGCTCCCGGTGACTGTCCCGGTCCCGGTGCCGGTCCGGGCGGCGGCCCCGGTGCGGCGCGGGGGCAGCGGCGGCGGCGCTGCGGACCGCTGTGGGGCAGCGTGGCCGTCATGGCTATCCTGGCGCTGCAGATCGCCTCCACCACCGGCCTCTTCGTCTACTTCACCATGGCCATCTCTAAGGTGAGCTTTGTCCCGGGACCGGCGGCGGGGCTGCGGCCCCGGGAGTCCCGGCGGCTGCGGGAGGGCTCTGCCCGCTCCCTCCCCTCGCACGGCAGCGACCGGTGCGGGCTACGGGATGGTCACTGCCCCAGGGAGCCGCGGGTCCAGATGTGGACTGGGGGGTGGACACTGCCCCAGCTCCCCAGGGAGCCGCGGGTCCAGATGTGGATTGGGGGGTGGACACTGCCCCAGCCCCCCAGGGAGCCGCGGGTCCAGATGTGGATTGGGGGGTGGACACTGCCCCAGCTCCCCAGGGAGCCGCCGTTCCAGATGTGGGGTGGGGGTGGGAATTGCCCGAGCTCCGCCCGGAGCTGCAGATCCAGCTGTGCAGGCGTGGGCGGAGGGGTGGACACTGTCGCCGATCCAGATGTGGAGACACGGCGCCTTTGTCCTGGGCCCCGCCTGGAGCTGATGTTTGCACTGGGAGAGGGGGGCTCTGCCCTGGGATCCCACCGGAGTCTCCAGCCCCAGATGGGGGTGCAGGGGGACTTCCCTGGGCTCCAGGCCCCACTGAACCCTGGTTCTGGCTTCATCTCTCCCTCCTCCATTCCCATCTCCTTCACACTCCAGGACCCTCAGATCCTCCTCAGCCCCTTTGTGAGACGCTGGGAACCCCATTCCAGCAGCTCTTTGCTTGTTCCAGTGCAGCCCCACCAACTGTGCTGGGATCCCGCCATTCCCACCTCCCACGGGGTCAGGCGGGCAAAACCACTCCCAAACTTAGACGTGATGGCTCCGATCCTTTCAACAGCCTCGCCAGCCCCTCCCCTCCTCTGCTGATTCCGATCCACAACAGCCCCTCAGCAGCGGGAGGGAAACGCCGGTCAGGAGATTTCAGGAGATCCATGGGTAGAGGGAAATTCGGGACTGGCAGCAGCTCCATGCAAGCCACCCTCATCCCTGAGGGTGCGCCAAAAAAAAAAAAAAAAAAAAAAAAAAA